CCCTCAATTGAGAGTTTATGTGATATATCAGATAGATTAATGAATAAAAAAGAAAAAAATAAGCAAAGCGTCCTGCCATCTGCAGTTTGGTCAAGTCACTTCCCTGCTCTTAACTCTGTTTCAAAAACAGATTCAGTGATACATACATCCGGGATAAAGCTTTTAAAGAGCATCCAAAACTGAATGTTTAAATACTTGTTTCCACAGGCCCAGATGATATTTTATACAGAATATGGGCAGATTCAAATCTTGCATTTCTGAGTAAGCAAAATTCACGAACCATTTGCGAGAGTACTTTCAGAAACCCTTTAGAACTTGTCCCCCTTGTTTTAACTAGCATTGTGAAGAAGCTTTAATAGGCACACAAATAGTAGTTTCTAAATTACTCAGTTTCACAGTACGCAGAACATATTCTCAAATTATTCTCCCATTTAGATACTCTTTCTGATTTCAAAATTAAACAGAAGTTATTACAGTTAGAATTATATACCCACTGACTACTGCTTTTAGTTACTCTAAACATATCTGGAATTACTACGAGAACTGATATTTATCAGTGCCAACACTTTCAATAGCAGGGAGGATAGCTCCCCTTTCTGTCCTTCCCTGCCCAAGTCCCTGTTTTTCTGCGAGACAAGGGGAACAAATCGCACCAACTCCTTCTTAAGCACACATCAAGTCACAGAGACAAAATGTCTTTCACTGTATTATGGATAGGCTGGAATAGCTCTGCTGCTGATTCTTCCTCTCCATGACAGTAGAGAAAACAGGTATTACATACACTAGCAGTTTAGACAGCCCAGGAGGTATTAACACCTATGTGAGAAGACTCTCAGCAACACACGAAGCTTGCTTTACCTCCAGGCATAGGACCTAAGTGCTGCACTCACTGACTCTGCCTCAGACCCCGCAGGCATTTGCCCACCCCGTTCCCTTGCACCGGTGCTGCCCCTTGCCCTCACAGTCAGGTCTCACTGAGCCTTGTAAGAGTCCAAACTTTTTAATTTTGCCATTTTGAAGCACAAGAAGCCACAGGAACAACCTGTAAAGAAATCCATTTTCACCCCAGTGCTGGTGCAACTTAGGGCAGCGGGAGCAAGATTTTACCAAGCTTTCCTCTGCAGCGTTGCAATGGAAAAAGCACACCACCATCCTCGTGACGTCAAATTAAACAAAATGCCATTAAAAACTTAGCTGCTGAGACAACATTAGATTAAAGCTGACCAAATGATGACACAGTCATGAGAGAAGTAATGGTATTATTTTAACTAAGTAATTCCTGAACACTACAGCCTGAAAAATAGGAAGAAGACTCCCTTTAAAATCCTCTTTCCCATTTCCTTGGCACTGTAACACACTGGAAGTTTGGCAGAAAACACAGTAAAGATACTGCAACTCTACTAATTAACAGGGCCTGTGTG